ATGTATCTATCTATCTATCTATCTATCTATCTATCTAAGGTATTCTTTTCATATCTATCTATCTGTATTCGCATCTATTTATCTTTGTCAATCTGTTCATATCTATCTAACACTGTCTGTTCTTATCTATTTATCTCCTCTCTCCCTCTCTCTCTGTATATATATATATATATATATATATATATATATATATATATATATATATATATATATATATATGTGTGTGTGTGTGTGTGTGTGTGTGTGTACATATATATTTTAGGTTTATATGTATATATATATTTCACGCTTTTGCTAACATCAGACAAACTGGTTTATAAAACAAAAAGCAACGTGGAATCCAGGATTACAAACTCATATCCATACAACTGAATATATCAGCTCTATCACATATATTGAGCACTTTCCACTAAGTACCGCGCATATAAAATACACACACACACACATATATATATATGGGTGTGTGTGTGTGTGTACACGCTAGTCTATTCATATATATCTTTGTATTCTAGTCTATCTAACTTTCTTAGATGAGGTATTATAACAATTTAGACTATTTACATCGTTCGGGCTATTATCCTCATCTTTCTTCCCATATTCACAACGTTTCAGCTGTTGTACATGCTGGCCTTCTTCAGGTGATATAAAATGGAATTTCGAACCGAACGCTTTATTTCGTCCACACGGTCGAATTCCTTGTCCCATTTCTTTCTGGATATATCAGTATCTTTAGTAACTCAGCTCTCCAAATTTTTGCTCACTCGGGTGTGGCCTGGGACTGTATCGCTTTTATCCACTGGGCCATGTCTGTCTGTCTGTCTGTCTGTCTGTCTGTCTATGTCAGTTCCATTATCTATCTATCTATCTATCTATCTATCTATCTATCTCAGTCTGTTCATTATTTTCTTTTCATTCTATCTATCTATCTATCTATCTATCTATCTATCTATCTATCTATCTATCTATCTATCTATCTCAGTCTGTTAATATCTATCTATCTATCTCAGTCCGGTCATTAATTTTTTTCATTCTATCTATCTATCTATCTATCTATCTATCTATCTATGTATACTAGTCTATTTATATCTCTGTATCTATCTATTTCAACCTATTTCTTTCTTTCGTTTTTCTATCTATCTATCTATCTATCTATCTATCTATCTATCTATCTATCTATCTATCTCATTCTGTTCATATCTATCTCATTCCGTTCATATCAATCTATCTCATTCTGTTCATATCTATCTATCTATCTATCTATCTATCTATCTATCTATCTATCTATCTATCTATCTCCATATATATATATATATATATATATATATATATATATATATATATATATTATGAAATGGACAAATCCGACAATTAATCTCTTTATCCCAACCTTCTATTTATCTTTGTCTGTTCATATATATATGTATATTTTTTTTTTACATCTATTACAATATTTAACAAGGAATATGTATATATATATATATATATATATATATATATATATATATATATATATATATATATATATATTATGAAATGGACAAATCTGACAATTAATCTCTTTATCCCAACCTTCTATTTATCTTTGTCTGTTCATATATATATGTATATTTTTTTTTACATCTATTACAATATTTAACTTTTTTATATATATATATATATATATATATATATATATATATATATATATTATGAAATGGACAAATCCGACAATTAATCTCTTTATCCCAACCTTCTATTTATCTTTTGTCTGTTCATATATATATGTATATTTTTTTTACATCTATTACAATATTTAACTTTTCTGTATATATATATATATATATATATATATATATATATATAAATATATATATATATATTATGAAATGGACAAACTGACAATTAATCTCTTTATCCCAACCTTCTATTTATCTTTGTCTGTTCATATATATATGTATATTTTTTTTTACATCTATTACAATATTTAACTTTTTATATATATATATATATATATATATATATATATATATATATATATATATATATATATTATGAAATGGACAAATCCGACAATTAATCTCTTTATCCCAACCTTCTATTTATTTTCTTTGTCTGTTCATATATATATGTATATTTTTTTTTACATCTATTACAATATTTAACTTTTCTCTCTCTCTCTCTCTATATATATATATATATATATATATATATATTATGAAATGGACAAATGACAATTAATCTCTTTATCCCAACCTTCTATTTATCTTTGTCTGTTCATATATATATGTATATTTTTTTTACATCTATTACAATATTTAACTTTTCTGTATATATATATATATATATATATATATATATATATATATATATATTATGAAATGGACAAATCCGACAATTAATCTCTTTATCCCAACCTTCTATTTATCTTTGTCTGTTCATATATATATGTATATTTTTTTTACATCTATTACAATATTTAACTTTTCTGTATATATATATATATATATATATATATATATATATATATATATATATATATATATATATTATGAAATGGACAAATCTGACAATTAATCTCTTTATCCCAACCTTCTATTTATCTTTTGTCTGTTCTATATATATATATATGTATATTTTTTTTTTACATCTATTACAATATTTAACTTTTCTGTATATATATATATATATATATATATATATATATATATATATATATATATATTATGAAATGGACAAATCCGATAATTAATCTCTTTATCACAACCTTCTATTTATCTTTTGTCTGTTCATATATATATGTATATTTTTTTTTTTACATCTATTACAATATTTAACTTTTCTGTATATATATATATATATATATATATATATATATATATATTATGAAATGGACAAATCCGACAATTAATCTCTTTATCCCAACCTTCTATTTATCTTTGTCTGTTCATATATATATGTATATTTTTTTTTACATCTATTACAATATTTAACTTTTTGTATATATATATATATATATATATATATATATATATATATATATATATATATATATATATATATATATATATATATATATATATACTTATATTGGGTGGACAAGTCTCACCACAGCTTCTTATCTCTCGTATCACCTAGATATTCATCCTTATAAATTTTGAAGGTCAAGTTCACCAAGCATGTCTTCCTCCAAGGTACATCAGCTTTGTCTGAGTAGGTTTTCTCTTTGTTGCTTAATCCCCCAGTCAGTAGAATTCTCATCATCCTTCTGTTGTAGCGCATTTCTGTTGCCTCCAGTTTACGCCGTCTTTTGTAACACTTTGCAAATAGTTGTGAAGCTGAAGTTTACTTTGACGTTTCTAATGTGTACATTCTGATGACCAGAGGGAGAGATGGAAACGTGAAAGTGTAAACGAATGGTAAAACAGGTCGATATAGAAAAATACAAACACTGTTTAAAACTACAAGGGTTTTGAAGTTGTGGAGAGGATTGATCGTCAACCACAGGAAGGGACCCCCCCCCCAAAAAAGTAGAAAGAAATGAAGGAAAGAACAAATGGTCAATGAAGACAAAACAAAAGAATACGAAGAATAAAAATGTAAAGAATAAAAATGTGAAGAAAAAGAAAGAAAGAGAACAACAACAATAACAATGTGAAGAAAAAGAAAAATGTGAAGAAGAATAATGGGAAGAAAAAGAGGGGTGTGAAGAAGAAGAAAATTCGAAGAAGTGTGTGAAGAAAAATGTGAAGAAGAAAAAAGAAGGATGTGAAGAAGATGAAGAAGACGATGAATATGAAAAAGAAGTATGGGAAGAAGAAGAATGTGAAAAATAATGTGAAGAAGTATGTGATAAAGAAAAAAGTAGAATGTGAAGAAGATGAAGAAGAAGACGATGAATATGAAAAAGAAGTATGGGAATAAGAAGAATGTGAAAAATAATGTGAAGAAGTATGTGATAATGAAAAAAGAAAGATGTGAAGAAGATGAAGAAGAAGACGATGAATATGAAAAGAAGTATGTGAAGAAGAAGAATGTGAAAAATAATGTGAAGAAGTATGTGATAAAGAAAAAAGTAGGATGTGAAGAAGATGAAGAAGAAGACGATGAATATGAAAAAGAAGTATGGGAAGAAGAAGAATGTGAAAATAATGTGAAGGAGTATGTGATAAAGAAAAAGTAGGACGAAGAAGATGAAGAAGAAGACGATGAATATGAAAAGAAGTATGGGAAGAAGAAGAATGTGAAAAATAATGTGAAGAAGTATGTGATAAAGAAAAAAAAGTAGGATGAAGAAGATGAAGAAGAAGACGATGAATATGAAAAAGAAGTATGTGAAGAAGAATGGGAAAAATAATGTGAAGAAGTATGTGATAAAGAAAAAAGTAGGATGAAGAAGATGAAGAAGAAGACGATGAATATGAAAAGAAGTATGTGAAGAAGAAGAATGTGAAAATAATGAAGAAGTATGTGATAAAAAGAAAAAAAGTAGAATGTGAAGAAGATGAAGAAGAAGACGATGAAATATGAAAAGAAGTATGTGAAGAAGAAGAATGTGAAAAATAATGTGAAGAAGTATGTGATAAAAAGAAAAAAGTAGGATGAAGAAGATGAAGAAGAAGACGATGAATATGAAAAGAAGTATGTGAAGAAGAAGAATGTGAAAAATAATGTGAAGAAGTATGTGATAAAGAAAAAAGTAGGATGTGAAGAAGATGAAGAAGAAGACGATGAATATGAAAAAGAAGTATGGGAAGAAGAAGAATGTGAAAAATAATGTGAAGAAGTATGTGATAAAGAAAAAAAGTAGGATGTGAAGAAGATGAAGAAGAAGACGATGAATATGAAAAAGAAGTATGGGAAGAAGAAGAATGTGAAAAATAATGTGAAGAAGTATGTGATAAAGAAAAAAGTAGGATGTGAAGAAGATGAAGAAGAAGACGATGAATATGAAAAAGAAGTATGCGAAGAAGAAGAATGTGAAAAATAATGTGAAGAAGTATGTGATAAAGAAAAAAGTAGGATGTGAAGAAGATGAAGAAGAAGACGATGAATATGAAAAAGAAGTATGCGAAGAAGAAGAATGTGAAAAATAATGTGAAGAAGTATGTGATAAAGAAAAAAGTAGGATGTGAAGAAGATGATGAAGAAGACGATGAATAGGAAAAAGAAGTATGCGAAGAAGAAGAATGTGAAAAATAATGTGAAGAAGTATGTGATAAAGAAAAAAGTAGGATGTGAAGAAGAAAAATATTAAGAAGAATTTAAAGAAGATGTATGTGAAGAAGAAAATGAATATGATGAAGTAGAATGTGAAGAAGGAGAAAAAGAAAAAAAGAATATGAAGAAGAATATGAAAAAGAAAAATGTGCAGTAGAAAAAGAAGAATTTGAAGAAGCATAAGAAGTAAAAGAATGTGAAGAAGCAGAATTTTTAAGGTGGACCTCAACTTGCCAGGAATTGACCTACGCACTTGATTGTATGACCTTCCTCTGCGGCACAGAGACTCTAGTTATGATACTGCAACGGGCAGTCGCTGACTCTGTTATAATTTCGAGTGACGCCTTCTGTAATATGTCCATCAGGCGTAGCCCTCTTCATCCGTTGGTTCAACTGTACAATAATTTTTATATATAATTTAAGTTACAATAAACATGAAAAACTACTCTTCAAGAAAACGAATTTTACTCATTCGTCCGTTTTTTTTTTTTTTTTTTTACTGTGAGGTTCGCCCTGTACAAAGCTCGAGGGCCACTCGAGGTAGAGAGTTACAGAGTAAGAGACATTTTATACGGATAGCAGGGGAAGCTAACGGTTAACCCTAGACTTGACCAGGTTAAAATTTTAGTGATCGACGAAACATTCTCTTGAGGTTCTACAAAATAGTGGTTCGCGAGGTGTTTGATTAGAGCTTGCTCCTCCTTAATGGAGTACGGATGAAATGAGGGTGATTTGCTACAATGTGAGTGGCATAGTCGGTCCTAGCCGTGAAGGATAGAACTAATGGTACTAAGGAATGCAGTTCGTCCGAGAACTTTCAATCGAAGTAGCTATAGACCAATGACATGCTTGCTATATTCCGTCTGTAAAAGAGAGGTTGGAGGGGGAAAATAATTTGTCACTTACAATGACGCGGTGACGCTTTTGGACTGTATCGAGATTGGAAAGTGAGGACTGAATATGACAGCTGTACTCCATTTTAGCCCTGATCAGGATTTTATAAACCTAAAATATAGCATGAGGAGTCAGGTTCTTACTAGAGCAGTACAAAGAATCAACCATTTTTTGCTGCACCTTTGCGATGGATTCGAGTTCCACTTGAGGACAGGGGTGAGTTTAAGACCCAAAAGATACAGATTCTCCCCGAGGAAACA